ACTGTTTGGAGTTAGCACACACCTCTCAATCCCACATGACTGCCCCCAACTTCAGACAACAATCACAAGTACACATTGTCACCTGTGCTTCTGACCAACTGGATGTAAATTGGGGGTTGCCCCGTCCCCCTTCTCAGGTTTATAGATTTGCTAGGACAGCTTACAGAACTTAAAAGACAGATTATGGGTTTATTATAAAAGGATACAGTTTAGGAACAGCCACATGGAAAGAAGGAACGGTATATGACAAGGTTTAGGGGAGAGGCGCAGAGCCTTCATGCCCGCCCCTTGAATGCCGCCCTCCCAGCACCTTCACCTACCTGAAAGCTCTTCAAAACCCATCTTTTGGGGGGTTTTGTGGAGATGTCACTACAGGAAAGATTGATTGACTCATCAGTCATTGGTGATTAAGTCAGTCTCCAGTTCAAGGCTAGGGAGGGGATGAGTCAGAAAGTTCCAACCCTCAATCCTGTGGCTGGTTACCCTGGCAACCAGCCCCATCCGGAGGTGATCCAGGAGCCCCCCAGCACCAGTCATCTTACAAGCATACAAGACCCATGATTTTAGAGATTCCAGGAGTTTTAGGAGCTGAATGCCAGGGAAAGGCAGAGACCAAATATATACTTCTTATGTCACACCTGGCTTCAGAATCCTGGCTCTGCCAATTACTTAGGTGTATGACCTCAGATAAGCTCCTTTGTCTCCCTGAGCCTCAGTTTCATCGATGACATACGTAAAGGGTTCTGTACCCTGTCAACAGTAGTTGGCATAAGGCAGGCTGACAGATGACACGTGTGAATCCCATTCTTCCTCCCCCTCCAGCTCAGAGCAGTCTTGTAAAACCCGTAACCACCGTAATGGGAAGTGGAGTCCTTGGCGCTGCTGGGCTCATGCTCAGTGTCAGGAGAGGCAGAGATGGCAAGTGTGGGTTCTGAGCCTGTAGTCCTCCACCAGGGAGTGTGGTGACCATGACCAAGGGCCTGCCTCATGGCGTTAATGTGCTAATGCACGTGAATGCTTTGAACACTGCCTGGCATATAAATGCCGGTAAACTTTAGCTCATAATATGATCATCACCACCACAATCCAGTGGGGGTGGCATGCAAAGTGCCCCTTTTCTCCTGTCCGCAGCTGTCTCTAGTGGAAGGGACAGTGTCTCTGTAGCCTTGGTCCCCTGGAGCTCAGTCTTGTCTTTGTCATTCTCCCTAAGGACAAGCTATTGGTCTCTGGGGTGAATGGGGAGGCCTGTACTATTAGCACAGACGTAGCAAGCAGTGCGTAAGCTTTGCTGGGGTAGAGAAGGGTGTGGGCCAGTTGCAAGCAGGCAGGTGCCCGCTAGAGATGCTGGGCAGAGGTCTGTCTGGGGCACTCCTTCTGCTCTCAAAGAGCTGGTGGTCTAGAATAGCAAACCTCACCTGGACAAGGACACACATTCTTCAGGGTTTGGGAGAGGGGGGAAAAATCTCCGAAGAGGCTTGTGCAGTCTGAAACCATGTGTTCCACCGAGCCCTTTTTTAAATTCTGAAACGAGAGAGTAAAGCTCTACTGAATCACACCTGGCTGGGAGACACAGAGGATAATAGGCAAGGCTAGCAGGAGGCAGGGGTCAAAAGGTCAGGGCCATTGCGCTAGGTGACCAGCCATGTAGCAACCCAGCTGTACACAGCTCAATCCTGCCAGAGCCTCTGAGATCTGGGCTGTCTCCAGCAGGTATTGATGCCCAGAAACACTCTGTTCCTCCATCCATCCCTCCCTCCCTCCCTTTCCTCTTCCCTCCATTCAACCAATTCTTAGTGATTGCAGGAATATTTTAGTTTCCTTGAATTTATATAAAAACATGCTGATTTATGCTTTTTTTCCTTTTTTTGAGACAGTCTCACTCAGTTACCCTGGGTAGAGTGCCGTAGTATCATAACTCACAGCAACCTCCAACTCTTGGGCTCAAGAGATTGATTGTCTCAGCCTCCCAGGTAGCTGGGACTACAGGTGCCAGCCACAACACCCAGCTAGTTTTTCTATCTTTAGTAGAGATGGGGGTCTCACGCTTGCTCAGACTGGTCTTCAACTTCTGAGCCCAGGCAATCCACCCACCTCAGCCTCCCAGAGTGCTAGGATTTTAGGTGTAAGCCACCGCGCCCAGCCTAATTTTTGCTTTCAATAAGTATTTGTGAATGAGTGATGTATGAATGAATGGATTTGCAGTACCCTGAGCTGGTGGCAAGCTCACCAGCAGTTGCAGGTTTGGCTCAGTACCCAGAGAGCCCCTCCACCCCGTCTCCAACCTTGCCCCAGACCCACTTGTTCCTGCCTCACCTTTCTCTCTTTCCCATGCGGGGACCCTACTCTAGCCAAATAACACATCTCACTCTCCTTTGCTCTGGACTGTCTCTTCCCATTGTCTGCAGTGTAGACAAAATTCTCTCTCCTTCCTAGGCCCAGCTTTGCCAATGAAGCTTTATCTGATCTCGACCCCCTGCTGAAGGTTTTGAGAGCTTCGACTACATCTCACACACATCCCATATGTGCACTGAACGAATGTCTCATGCTCACCTTGCCTTATGGGCTACGTTTTGAGCTGTCATGATGGTCATCTCCCAACATTAGTCTTCTTTTTCTGTCTTTTCTCTCTCTCTCTCTTTTTTTTTTTTTTGACAGAGTCTCATTCTGTTGCTCAAGCTAGAGTACCATGGCCTCATAGCTCACAGCAACCTCAAACTTCTAAACTCAAGCAATCCTCTTGCCTCAGCCTCCCGAGTAACTGGGACTATAGGCACCCACCACCGTGCCTGGCTAGTTTTTCTATGTTTAGTAGAGATGGGGTCTCTCCCTTGCTCAGGCTGGTCTCTAACTCCTGAGCTCAAATTATCCTCCCACCTCAGCCTCCCCAAGTGCTAGTTGTGAGCCACTGAACCAAGCCAGTTTTCAGGGACCCAGGTACTTCAGGGACAGTAATGTAGCTTCTGTTCCTCATGCCATCTAAAAAGTTGGCAATACTTCCTTGGTGTGAACACTCGGCCTTTCAAATCCATAGCCTCTTGGTCCTTTATTATGCCATCCCCATCTGAGTCCACAGAGTTCCCAGGTTTGCTG